GATGGGGACCTTCAGAAACTGGTTGGAAAACACCAGGGCTAGACCTAAGCAACTGGCTGCTGCTGTAATCTTCTATACTGGTATGTATTGGGAGGACTGGGATTACTCATACCCCACTATAGAGATATTAAAGAATAGAGACCTTCAATGGTCCACAACACACTTACCACACTCCCTTTAAGCCACGCCTAATATTTAGCATAATTTAAACCACACACCCATTTTTTGTGCAAGCCATAATAAATGAATGTCTCATCCCTAATTAAAGTAGTGCTCTACCTGCAGTGGCTTTCTGGACACACAAAAAAAAGGATGTCCCTAAAAACGTTTTTGAAATGTTGGCAACTATGAAATGTGAAGCAGTGCCCTACATGTCACTACTACATCCTGTGGTGGATGATGGTCAGCAGGAGCAGTCAGTGAGAGCTGAGGGAAACCCAGGAGATGAGAGTATAGATTGCAGTGTGGAAATCTGCACAAGATTTCCCATGATTAAAGACTGGTTCAGCAGTGTGGGCAGCATGAAAGGTAACTATATACTCACTTCTTTTATAGGTACAGTATGGCTTTATCTAAAGTATAGTGAAAGTGTAATTTCAAACCTAGACAGCACTTACTTCAGTAGCTGCATATGTACTTTAAGGCGATTTATCATCAATGATCACAACAAACATCTGAATATTTGGTTTCATTCAGTTTCTAACAGCTTAAAAGTACCTAGTGTGTATATATCAGAAGGCTAATGGGCTGCCATAGAAAATAAGCCGAGAGGAGCTCTGATTAAGTGCTTCTGTACTGAAGTTAATTTCTCCACAATACCTACAGCTACAGAGGTGAATAAGGGTATGTTTTAAGGTGCTTTTCCTTATGGCCCATCAGCGCCTTTTCCAGACATCATATTTTTTTGTGAGTGTCCCAGGAGGTTGGGTCTTTTCCTCAGTGCTGCCAAGAAAAACTCTGTTTTTGTTATACTTTTTATTGTTATTTTTCTATTTATTTTTCTTCAGTCAAGATATTTGGCATGCCATAGATACATTTTTTTGGTGGCTGCAATTAAAACCTTAAAAAATGCTACTTGAGCTAGTCTGTATTCAATAGCTACTCAGCAACAGCATTGGAAGCCCTACTGGGAATACACTGGGCTAGAAAATTGCAGGACTAGCCTGGAATGGGACCTTTAGGCACTAGACTCTACATTGTGCTGATTTGTATTGAAGATAAAGTTCAATGATACAAACAGCCCACTGGGAAGGCACTCGAATGGAAACACTCACAGTATGTCTGGGCAATGTAGAACTGAGCCAGTCTTGAGCATGCTGACAGCATCTGTCCCAGAGGCATAATGCGGCCTGTCTGGTCTGCACCAAAGCGGTAGGATTTGAAGAAGGATGAAATGTCCCTAGCCTGTCCCTACTTATCTGGAACCTCTACCTACTGCTTGTCACTTTTCCTGACAGATGGGTGACCTGTCCATATTCTGTCCACTCACAAAATGTGCACCAAACCCAGGAGCCAGGGTCTTAAATAGACTCTGTCTGGCCCACGATCGCCGACAAGGACACATAGGGGAACAGCATCCAACCGGATCACTTCCCTAGTGACCCAAGAAAACATAGAGGAACAATCTCCTCCTGACTTCCGTTGCTTTTTAGTGCCACCTGCAGCGGAGGAAGGAGACAGTACTTGCCTAAAACTGTTAGATAGGTGCAGAGTGCTCTCCAGGTCTAATCTCCTGTATCAGCACACAGGAAGTAGACCTCTGGAGATGATGAAATTTGCCTGGAATGTGATCTTCAGGCACTTGGTTCTGCATTGTGTACTTTCCAGATCTATGTGTACTGGGTTAACTGTAGCGAGTTTTCCAGATCCAGATTTGTGGCACAGTCTCTGGTGTGATCCATTCACTGGATGTAGAGATTAGGGCCTGTTGGGCTGCAACACTGGGAGCTACCTCACAGTTGGCATTGTTGGGCATCATGTTAAAATTCCCACCATCACCATCTTGCATTGGTAGTGATTCATTCTAAAGAAACTTAGCACTGACATCATCCCCTTGAAATGGTGAAATGTTGGGAGTAATGCATGCTCTTTCTCTCACCGTTCAGCCTACAAGAAACCCTCTTTAAAACCAACTGTTTGGGTTTCTGAGTACACAAGGTCTTGCCACTTTGGACCTCGTTGATTTTCTGCTATGCAGTCCTACATGTCTTTTAAAAGACACACTGATGACAAGCCCACTGAAAAGGGTGACCTAAGCGCATACTTCTCCATTGTTGCAAAGGCTGATTTCTCAGTATCCTTAGAGGGGACAGATGTCTGTAACCTAGATCATAGGACCCCTATTACTTTAAGGTATTCCTTATCTGAGTCTTATATAACTCTCCAGCATGAGGCTCAGATCTCCAATATGTCCAAAAAACGTCTAATATACACTTCGTTTTTTGTCAGTTTAATAATTTGTTTTTCTTTATGGTGGATGATTGGTTGTCCTCCACATTGCTAAATAAGGCCCATCATTCGTCAGGTACCAGTTTTCTCTTACTGACGATTACTAACTGACTAATTTTTGGTTATTCGGAGATTCATATGCATCCAAATTTACAACAACAATAGTAACAAATTTTGTTAAAAATCATTTCATTTATTTGTTTTCTAACAAATTTTGAATTTTCAGAACAATTTGAATCAGTTGATACATTTTGTATCGACCGATCTGAATTATGTGAGAAAAATAGCAGGTTGTTAAGGAGAGGGTCGGGAAGCCGGCCACCCCATCATTAACAACTGATAACTTATCAGCTGTCATTGGTTTCCCCACTGACAGCTGAATGAAAAAAAGATTTGCCAGCAATGAAAAATTAAGAAAAAAAAATGGCGTATCAGACCCTTATCCAAGCAAGCAGCCCATGCTTGGAAGCTCCCTACCCTAAAGCACCCCTCCATGTTGAGGTCATGTGGCCTGGAATGGTTCGGGGGAAGGCGCTTGGTCGTCCCCGCCTTTCCTGAATGGCCAGGATGCATGTTCGAATAAGGGTCTGGTATGGATTTTGGGGGGACCTAACACTGTTTTTCTTTCTTAACTTTTCATTGCCAGCAATTTTCATACTTACCATAAAATCTTTTTCTTGAAGTCCACTCAGGGGCACATGTCCCATTCAGTCCATTCGAATTACAGGTGTTTAATAGCTATTGATTACCAAAGAACTTGGTATTAGTTGTTATGTTATTGACTATGATAATTTATAGGTAATTGCTTCTATGTATGTATACTGTATATCTATATGGTTTCTTCTGTATGCTGTGACCTCTGTCCTTACCACATGCTCACATCCCTTTTGCTAGAAATTATATATGACCAGACTGGTTAAAGCCAGTTATTTATTAAAACGCTATAAATCTAGATTTAACATGGAGATCCACAATAAGTTTAGCATATATTTACGTATATAAGTTTAACATAACATTATATATATATATATATATATATATATATATATATATATACATACATACACACACACACATACACCCAATCATGGCCAAAAATATTGGCACCCCTGAATTTCTGTCTAATATTGCATCACTTTGCCCAGACAATTGTTGCAATTCTCATGTTTTTTTTTTTTTTGTATTGGTATGACACAAAAAAGTAGAGAAACAAAAAGCCAAACCCACCCAAAACTCCAAAAATTAACTGGACAAAATTATTGTCACCCTTATGTTAATATTTGGCAGCACACCCCTTGGAAAAAATAACTGATATCAATCACTTCCTGTAACCATCAATGAGTTTCTTACACCCCTCTACTGGAATTTTAGACCACTCTTCTTCAGGTCTCTCAGATTGGAAAGGAGGTTCCTTTTCCCAGCTGCTATTTTGAGATCTCTCCACAGGTGCTCTATGGGATTGAGATCTGGACTCATTGCTGGCCAGTTCAGTACTCTACAGCACTTTGTCTGAAACCATTTCTGGGTGCTTTGTGATGTATGCTTTGGGTCATTGTCCTGCTGTAAGACTCATGACCTCTGATAGGGAACCCAACTTTCTGACACTGGGTCCCAGAATTCTTTGGTAGTCTTCAATTTCATAATGCCATACACATGGTCAAGTCATCCAGTGCCTGAAGCAGCAAAGCAACCCCTAAACATCAGTGAACCTCCACCATGTGTGACTGTAGGGACTGTATTCTTTTCTTTAAAGGCCTCATTTCTTTTTCTGAAAACAGTAGAATGACAGGCTTTGTCTGTCCACAGCACATTCTCTCAAAAAATTTTTTGGCTTCCTCAGGTAGTTTTTGCAAACTTCAATGTAGAATTTTTATGTTTCTCTCTCAGCAGTGGGGTCCTCCTGGGTCTCCTACTATAGTGTACCTTTTCATTCAGATGGGGCATATAGTAGGAACTGACACAGTTGTAGCCTGTGCCTGAAGGTCAGCTTGAATTTCTCTGGAAGTTAATCAAGGTTTTTATCTATCATCCGAACAATCCTTTGTTGTAATCTTTGATCAATTTTTCACTTTCATCCACATCCAGGGATATTAGCTACAGTGCCATGGGCTGTAAACGTCTTGACAATGCTGTGCACAGTGGATACAGGAACATTAAGATCTCTGGAGATGGACTTGTAACTTTGAGATTGTCCATGCTTCTCCACAATTTTTGTTCTCAAATTCTCAGACAATTCTTTGCTGCTCTTTCTCTTCTCCATGCTCCATGTGGCACACAGAGACACATAACAGAAAGGATTAATCATTTTTTCACCATTTTAACTGGTTCCTGGTTTGATTTATATATTGTCAGCATCTAGTCATTGATACAGATGAGTTTAATTACAAATTAAAGGAGCATCACAGACTTGGACTGCAATTGTTTCTTACAATTTTGAGAAGGTGCAAATAATTTTGTCCAGTCCAATTTTGGAGTTTTGGGTGGAATGTATCATATTTGGCTTTTTGATTCTCCACTTACACCTCCATGACCACAGGTGTAAAAAATCAAGCACTACTTCTACAAACATTGTGTGAAAGTCACTCTCAGGAGCTCAGTGAATTCAAGTGTGGTAGCATGATAGGTTGCAACCTGTGCAATTTCCTTGGTACTAAATATTCCATGGTCAACTGTTAGTGGTATTATAACAAAGTGGGAGCAACTGGGAACAACAGCAACTCAGCCACAAAGTGGTAGGCCACATAAAATGAAAGAGCAGGGGCAGCGCACAGTGTGCAGAAGTCACCAACTGTCTGCAGAGTCAATAGCTAAAGACCTCCAAACTTCATGTGGCCTTCAGATTAGCACAGCAACAGTGCATAGAGAGCTTCATGGAATGGGTTTCCATAGCCAGAAAATGGTACTTGCCTGACTGCATTGTGCCAAGTGTAAAGTTTGGTGGAGGAGGGATTATGGTGTGGGGCTGTTTTTCAGGGGTTGGGCTTGGCCCCTTAGTTCCAGTGAAGGGAACTCTTACGGCGTCAGCATACCAAGACATTTTGGACAATATCATGCTCCCAACTTTATAGGAACAGTTTTGGAATGGCCCCTTCCTGTTCCACACCAGTGCACAAAGCAAGGTCCACAAAGACATGGATGAGCGAGTTTGGTGTGGAGGAACTTGACTGGCCTGCACAGAGTCCTGACCTCAACCTGATAGAACATCTTTGGGATAACTTAGAGCAAAGAACAAAGAAGCCCACAAAAGAGCCTCATCTAAGATGTCTTGGTGAATGTGCCTAGATCCTTTTCTGGAGACTGTAGCTGTCTGGAATTTCTAATGTTTTCAAAAGTTTAGGGGCTCCTTGGCATGAATAGAAGCTGCATTTATCCATTTTAGAAACTTTACTCCATTTTTTTACCCAAACTAAGTACATTCCTACACATACTTGTATTATTATACTATTAGTAAGTCATTTTAATTATTAATCTACACCTACATAGCTGAAAGATTAAGCATATGAATCTGTCACCATCAAATAAATGAAACAAGGAATTTATCTGTTTGTTACACTGTGTTATTGGCCTTATGTACTGCTTGCTCACAAAACCGAGTCATGACGGTTGGAAATGGAGATATACTGTACAGGGGTGCTGTAACTGCTCTCTGTGCGGAAAGCCACAAATAGCTGCAACCACCAAAGATCTGTCATTATAGGAAATGGGACCACTCACAGCAGCAGCAGGAATTAGATGATTCCTGCTGCTGTAATTCACACTAGGCTAAATTGCTGGTGTGAATGTTGCCTAATGGAGGGTAAGCTACCATATTTTTTTCTGGGTTTGCATAAACTTTAACAAAAAAATGAAGCCTTTTCTGTAACACTCTACCTGAAAAAACTCTTTAACCCCACAATCAAACCTCTAATACTTAACATGCATACTAACACTTAAAGCTAAACTCTACGCAAATAGATAAGAAGCAAATCAACGCAGCTCTGTCATCATGAATACATTAATCAATGTATTTTCTGTATTTTTCAAACTTACTGGTTTAGGGATAAGGTTCCACATTTTCCAGTTAATGCGCACACCGCCAAATCTGTTAGTGCCTCCTGGGTTTATAGGTATCAGATATTTGTCTCCTAAATTTACAAGCCTGGCACCTGGTCTTATGTTCATATATTCTATAGGTTTTACCAGTTGGGTGTTCATAGGGTGATCAGATGTCCCCAGTTTAAAGGGACAGTGTGGCTAGTAAATCAGTCACAGTAGACACCAATGGCACTTTGTGACATTACTATACTAAACTGAAGCACTATACTAAAGCAGTCCGACAGAGGGTAGAGCTACACAGCAACACAATGCTAACAGCCCAAAAAAACAACAATGAAACAAAACACTTACTGTGCATACCTCACTGACCATGCCTACCTTTTTTGAGGGTGGGGCAGAGGCAGAGGCAGAGGCAGAGGCAGAGAAGGGGTGGGGATAATTGAGGCATTGGAAGCATTCTACTCCAAAGTTTGGGTATTGTCAACTTGTGCTAACAGTGGGAGTGGCTTAAAAGGGTATGGTTTATTAACACTTAAGTCTATTTTGCTCTGAGTCAGGAGTGCATAACACTCAGAATGTAAAGGTCAAAAGTAAGTACAAAATGCCTGTCAAATAAAAAGTCCCCCCTCCTCCCAATACAACCATCCACCCCCCATGACAAAAAAGTTCCTTCCTCTCATCTCCAGTGGTAGCACCTGTACAGTTGCAGAAGGCACCATATACGTGCAGAACATGGAGGAGTCTGTGGTGTCAGAGGGAGCAAGTCACCTCTCTAGCACCCCCATGCCTCTCTCTGCACAGGCAGTCACCAACAGGCTTATGTGACAGGTTATATCTCAGGCTGCATTTACAGGTGGCTGCCAGCAGAGGGCATCCACAAGGGTAGTTAAATCTTCAAAATGGTTCCCTAAGCAATTATCAGTGAAGGGGTGTTGAGATCCCCTTTCAGAACCTTCCACCAGATGTATTATTATGCCAGATAGGTGCAGGGAAGACTAAATACAACTTAGGGTGGCTAAAGGCTGCTCAACGTTCCAATGTCCGAAGAATGTCCTCCTGCATACAGTCCTACAAGCTGGGTTACTGGCAAGTGAGTGTGGATAAGTACGGGAGAGATAGGTTGCACTGTCTCTTGACGGATGATGTTGAATGAAGAGTAGGATGCCCTGCCCCTCACAGGGTAAATGTTCAGCCAATTTGCTGCCTCACAGTGCTCACAAGTTCTATGATTCTCTTTCCTTTTCTTTCTCAGTGACTAGAACATATGTGCTACTGATCTGGGGTTTTAGGATTAAGGATAGGTCACACACTCCAGTTTTCTATTACTCAGTGCCTCATGGGTTTTTCTTCTATAAAACCCCAGCTCCCACACCGCATTTCCATTCTCCATCTGTGATGCACTCCTCATTACACCACTGTTCTTTAATTTTCCCTCTAGTTTTGGTGAAGGCCAACTACTTTCTGACCTACCAATGTGTCCAATCAGTCCTATTCTTCCCTCTTTTCCTCCAACCTTTTCTCCAGTCTCAAGGGATAGAAAACCAAGCTGTGATGTTCAGAGATACCATGACTGGGCTGAGCTGTCTCTGCTCACTTCCCTCACTGAAAATCTCCAAAAAAATAGAATTTGTTACAAATGAACTAAACCTAACTTAGCATTTACATGGAACCAAGTAACTGTTCCTAGCATTAACTGCTGGCAAAGAAATGTTCTACCATGGTGTGTAAGGTACAAGGTAGGGGCGATCATCCACCAGGACAGTGGCTTGAAGCACTTGGGCATCACTGGACCTTTGCACAGTGTTGATGGCCCCGTCAAAACTGTTCCCTATGTAATTCTATGTCAGTCTCCTGGGGGGTAAATCTGTTGCATAACTTTTTGTTTCATGATTCTAGATTGTTCTGTGACAGAGAGTTCCACTGTGGGTTTGGTGGCCTGTGAAGAGGATGATCCTATAAGACTCTGAATCTCCATTTCTTCTCCAGGTTCAAAAGGGGGACTTCTTCTTGCTTATAAGAATCCTGAGTGATTTGCAGATGGGGTGATGGGGTGACAACAGTGGGGTCAGACTGCTACAGGCATTCTGTCTCCAGATCTTCCTCTTCAGGGGGCGAGGTTGTGACCAAGTCACTGGATAAATATGTTGAAGGTGAGTTAATCTGGTGCAATGTACAGCTTCACTCAGTGGTAAGAGATGATTGTGGTGTTTAAGGGCTCTCTTTTACACTCTGGACAATTCTGATACACAGGTAGCTGAGCACAAATGATGCATGGCTGTGAACGCCAGTGATCAACTAATTTTTGCTTTCTGCGAGGACCCAGATTTGTCAGAAATATTTCTCATTCTGATGTAGGTAATCAACCTGAACGCTTGGATCACATTGTGTCCTGTCCTGATGTCCTCCGGCTTTGGCAGCAGTATGGACCTTTTGATAGGTGGGCTTCAGGTTTATTTTTAAGTTGGTTGGCATAGTTTTCATGGGATGCAGCTGAAGTCTCACAGATGGAGGATCTGATAGTATCTGCTCTATAAATATAGAATGCTAAACGATTGGCATCCCATTAGACAAGAAGGTGCATAGCTTTTGTTTGGCGTGGTGTATTGGTCTAGAATGATTATTCTATTTAAGGTTCTTTAATCAATACATAATTCTGATAGAACTATTTATCTTCTGAACCACCACTTTGGTAGAGGTATATGGTCTCAGTGATTTGCAAATTACCCCATTTCTTTTCAGCTCTGCAATTTGTTCCGTTAAGGTAATAGTAAAGTATAACGCTAACTATTCTTAAAAACATTCCCTCCCTCTTCCTTCCAATCCTGTAAACCCTGTATATAAAAGATTTTACCTTTTTAAATCTGGTCTAGTCATGTAATTCTGTAGCCTCACCTCCCCTGTGCATTCCCTCCTCTCCCCTGTAGCATTAGCTCACTGACACAGGAGAGCAGGAGCTGCAGAATCACATGAATTAACCAAAGCAGATTAAAAATAGGCATGTTCCTTGATCTTTTTTATACAGGGTATGCAGGTTAGGTGGGGGGGAGGGGGAGGGAATATTTTTAAAAACAGGTAGAGTTAGGCTTTTCTTCCACTTTAAATGTCCCAAACTCCAGGCAGGATTCAAGGAGATTGCTCTCTTAGGCATAGACATATACAATTGAGTACTGACGTGATACTTTTTTATTTGCATTAACATACAATTTTGAGGACAAGCTTTCGGGGTATGTCCCCTTCTTCAATGTCCAGGCAGTACACTGAGTAGTGCCTGGACCTTGAAGAAGGGGACATACCCCGAAAGCTTGTCCTCAAAATTGTATGTTAGTGCAAATAAAAAAGTATCACGCCAGTACTCAATTGTTTCTGTTGAAAGTGCACTAATACGGCTACAATCACCTCAAGCATAGACATATGAAATGCTGGGTACTCTTCACACACACCATTTTGAACTCATTCTTGGAGAATAGGTCTCACCACCTACCTGCTGGGTAGAAATGATCTGCAGAGATTTCATCTCTTCCATCCTGAAATGGCCCTGGTTGGTCCTAGCTCTGCCTTATTGAAACACAAATACAGGGCACTTCTGCAGCAGTCCATCTTTCTTCCCCAGTAACCACAATCTTCTTACCCTCTTGACCGCAACCTTCACTTCTCGAGTTAAGCATTGGTGCAGCGACTGAAGCCTGGTGTGCATGCTCTCTGGTGGTAGGTCATAGCAGGAGGCTATGGGAGCCAAGATGCACCTTATCAGATCCTGGAGTCAAGGGGACAATGGTTAAGGTGAAAAACGTTCCAGTGGATCAAACAACAGTTTTTTTTTTTATAGCTATTGTTTTTTATTGGTCATTTGATTGTTTACAACAATTAACAGTATTGTCACAATAATGTATTACAGATTTGTAAAGGAT